GGGGCAGGCGACCTTCTACATTGTTGGAGGGGATGTAAACTAGCACAACCACTACGGAAATCAGTATGGAGATTCTTCAAAAAACTAAAATAGCAATTCCATTTAACCAGCTATTCCCCTTCTAGGTATTTTCCAAAAGAGTTAAAGATACCATGCCACAGTGATATATGCACACCTACGTTTAGAGCAGCACAACTCACCTTAGCAGTATCTTAGAAGCAGTCTCTAGGACCATCAACAGATAAAGAAAATATGGCATACACACCCAAGGGAGTACTACTCTGCCACAAAGAAGGATAAACGAGTCATTTGTAAGAAAATAGTTGTATCTGGAGACTACAACGTTAAGTGAAATAAATCGGACACACAGGCTTAAATATTACATGATTTATACGAGGAAACCCAAAATATAACGGATAATAGAAAACAGTGAGATGAACTTTTGCAAATGGGAAAAGATCTAGAGATAGATGGAGCGGCGGGGAAATAAAAACAATTAACAGGGCCCCGAACTGAGCGTCCCCTGCTTTGTGTACCGCAAATGCGTACCAATTAAAAAAAAAGTTTTTTTAAAGGACTGGGGATGGAAGTCAGAGCCAGGTCCCTGGGTCCAATCCCCAGTGCCTCAGAGAAAGAGAGAGGGAGAGACACAGACAGACGGGGAGCGGGACTGGGAGGCGAGGGAGGGGAGAAGTAGGAGGAGGGACGGAGACGGCGCCAGCCAGACCCGGCGGAGCGCGCGGTGCCGCGGCTGAGGCACACAGATCGCAGTGCCAGCTCAGCCTGGGCAACAGAGCGGTTTAGCCAGACCCTGTCTCGGACTTAGAAGAAGAAAGGCGGGGGATGCCGCTCAGAGCAAAGGCTCGGGGTTCAGGTCCCAGGGCGAAGCAGAAGCGGGGAGCGCAGGGAGCAGGCAGGGCGGGGGAGGGGGGTTCCCGTCTCCGGCCGCCGCCCGGGCGGGAAGCTCACCGTTCTGGGCCAGCAGCCTGCCCACCAGCTCCCGCTCCTGCGGCCTCTGCGGAGAGAAGAAAGGAGGCGGTGGGCGGCGGCTCCCCGACACCCCGCGGC